AGTTGGCAAAATTGCACTTGCATAAAGTGATCCCCGACCTCCAACTTCCTGCCTGAGTAATTTCATAGGCATTTCATCAAACTTTGCATATTTTATGTCAATTTGTCTATAAAAAAAAATTCTCTACTGTTTCTGAAGCCAAAATTAGTGTTTTGTTTCAAATTTGTGGCCATAGTAGGGAATTTCAACCTGGGGTGAGGACAGCTTAACCCTTTCAGGGTCGACAGGCCCTCTCCCAGACTTGTTCTCAGGGTCGACAAAAAAAAAAAAAAAAAAAAAAAAAAAAAAAAAAAAAAAAAAAAAAAAAAAATTCTTATGAAAAGATAGAGAATCTTTTCCCGATCATAATGACATCAAAAGTATGAAATTTGATGGAAACCTTACGGAATTATGCTCTCACGAAGTTAGCAGTCTCGACGATGTTTACACATCGGCTATTTTGCCCACTTTAAGCCCTATTTTCGGCCAATTCCAGTGTACTAGTCGACAAAAATCATAACTATTTCACTAGAACTCCATTTTTTCTATCGAATGAGTACAAGAAACCACCCATTTACCGATTTCAACTATCCAATAAAGTGGTCAAAATTTAGCAATTTTGCCAATTTCACACAAATTTCAAAAGATGCCAATTTCCAAATAGGGTCCAGAATAAACAAGAAAGACATTCCTGGCACTAAAATAACATTTGCTCTGTTCATTAGTCACGTCCCCACGCCCCTCTTACATTTCTTTTGCTTTCCACTTTGATTTATTATCCTCACAAAATAAGATTTACTGTTATGCAGACTACTGCATTAGTGTAGAAATGGTATAAATAATATCGGCGCACTTGTGAAAGAATATCAAACTCGCCAGTTGACGTGTATTGACGCTTAGCATGATTTGTTTACTTTTGAACTTTGGTAAAAATCGAACATTTCTGCTACTTTGAGCTCAATTTCAAGGTACTTTTCATTGTAAAACCAATCAAAATCGTCTCAATTTCTGTAATATGTCTTCCATTCTATAAAATGAGACCAGGAAAACTAGAATACCATCATAAATACCATACGAAAATACAGTGCAAAGTCGCTGTTTTAAACCAAAAACAGTCAAATTTTTTTTTTCTCATTACGCACTGTTTGTTGCAGGATTTTTTTTATACTGCGCACACTGACCACATAGACCCATTCTTTCATATGTAGGCCTACCAGCTTTCTCTCACTAGATTTGAAGGCGTTAGAATTTAGGCGTACTAGTACGTCAAAAACCCTGGTGCGTAAGCCGTACTATTACGTCATAAACCCTGAAAGGGTTAAAGGGTTAACATTTTTCCCAATTTCAATATTATAAACGAGGATGATGAGTCTCTACTGAACATGTTTCTACTTACAATTCAAAAATTAATAAGGAAGATAACTGACCAACAAAAAAGTAAGCCTCTGTAAATGTTACATTCAACTACCATCTTTTATGAATCTGATTAATTTAGACTTCAAAATGTGAAAAAAGTATTCAGTTAGCCTGGCATGAGCCAGGCGGCCTGCTACAATGCTGGTGCTTTCATTTGCACCTGACTTGTGTCTATATTTAAGGGTTTCTTTTAACTAGTTTAGTATTGCCTGAGGAGGGTCTCTTAGACCAAAATGTTCTTGTGTCATTTCTGTATCAATAAATGTGAGTTATTCAAGTGTACTACCCATACAGTTAATGTATAGGTTCATTCAATTCAGTATTCATATATACCATAAGGTGAGGTAACTTGGCCACACATTGAAAAATGTCATATTTTCAATTCCTGGACACATTTGGCTTACATTTTTTCTATTTTATAAAGAACATTTTATAATGACTCCATTAAGAGTGATTTGAGACAACTAAGAGCATATTTTACAATGGTGTACTGCAAGAACATCTAAAACAGTTGCACATTCCAAGTATGGAAATGATAAGGCTAACTGCTATATCTTCTTACCAAGTTGTGCACACACCAACTTTTGAAGATTAATCAACTGAATAAGAAACTTTAACTTAGTAATGAGAAAACGGTGATAAACAAAGAGCTTCAAAGAACAGGTAGGACAACTGGGCTACTTCTAATTAATGTCTGTATGTAGTGGAGGCAAATGGCTTTTGGGTCTTGAGCTGCTGAGTGAGAGCAAGGTAACATCTTGTGAAGGGATTCAGGAAACCAGTTAGCTGGATTTGAGTCCTGGAGTTGGGAAGTACAGTGCCTGCACTCTGAAGGAGGGGTGGGAATATTTGCAATTTGGAAGGGCATCTGAACTGTAGTGTCTGCACTCCTCTGACAAGACAGTGATGGAGTGAAAGATGGTGAAGGTTTCTTTTTGGGTCACCCTATGTCAGTGGGAGATGGCCAGTGTGTTAAAAAAAAAATCAGGCTGAATTTGTACAGAGACAGAGGAAAAAGACACACTAACTGCACGAGGCACAAATGACAGCAACAGAAACATGACAACCACATTATGAAGGTAGATGGATATGTACTGGTGAAATTTAGAGGGAAGAAGCATGAATTTCATTAAGAGGAAAAACTATTGAACTTGGTAGAGCCAGAAAAACTTGCTGGGACATAAAATACCTAAGATGTGATTTCAGCATGTCATCAGAATGCTGTATTTTTATTTTCAGGAGCCACTCATACTGATATTATGGACCTCAAAGTTAACCAAATTGTAAAAATCTTACCTGTGTCTAACATCTGCAAAAGTAAATTAAAATACCTTGCAACATTTTTGTGGTGATATGTGCAGTACGTAGATCATGAGGTGCCAGAAGGAACTCTTAATGTAGTAGATAGCTACTTTATATGGCATGTCAAAATGTCAAATTTTTTTGTTAGGCTGTGTCAAAACAACCATTTCATTGTTTTTTGTGTATAAAAAATACATTTTTTAGACTCATTTTATAATTTCAGTTATTAACAATGAATATGCACTGTTACATTAGAAAAAACATTTACTGGATGCTCTATCTACACACAACACAAATTACAAATACAAATTTACTAGTCTTTTTAACACTTACTTTTTCATTAATAAAGCCTATGAAAATGTGGTCCAGTTACTCCACCTTACAGTGTGTAATCAGTTCATGTTGAGCATAACAAGATATTCATTTAAACATTGTGTAACTAAAAAAATTTTATTTTTACTCCAAGCACCCTACCATACATTATTCTTGATATTCTTTCACAAGATTCTAATTTGTCTTGCTTCACCTCTTTTTTTTAGTTTAGCCATTCCAGCTTTCAATTTTAAGATTAGAACACCATCTTTAATGATGTTTTCTACCTTTCTCTTAGCCTGATTCCTCTTCATTTAATTTAAATGGCCTCTTTCAAATTCTAAATATACAGTGGGCCCTCGGTTATCGGCCGTAATCCGTTCTAGAAGGTTGGTCTAAAACCAAAATGCCCAAAAACCGAAACAATATTTCCCATAAGAATTAATGTAAATACAATTAATCCGTTCCAGACACCCAAAAATATTAACAAAAAACACATTTTTTAAAGATTAACTATAGTTTTACATACACAAAACAATGAGAACTAAATAAAATGACTAATGAAATGGATAAATGAACATTTAAATCACTTTTACTTTTACTGAAGTCTTGTTGGCATATGCAAAACGTCGAGGAGCAGAGAGGGAGGCGAGTTTATTGTTTGGAGACAGGACAAAATGCTTAAATATGACGCTATTATCAACTCTATGGCATATTTCTATAACAAAATTCATCTAATATGACATAATAAACAATATTAATTACACAGAAATATGATATATACTCTAGAATGAATAAAATATGTCATTACATATGTGAGGAGTGGTGTGATGTTGTTGTTGTTGGGTGTATAAGGACCACTGACAGCATAAGCTGTGCATACAGTGGTGGTGGTGGTGGGCAGCAGAGGCCACCACCACTATTCACACTGAAACAATGTACATAATTTATAAATAAGAAATATTTCCACTTTTATTTATAAATAAGAAATACTTACACTTTATAAATAAGAAATATTTACACTTACCTTGGAGGAGATGCTGGCATTGGTTTAGGGTGGTGGAAGATACGCAGGCGGTGTATGTTGTTGTGGCCCTATATACCTCCAACAACATTGATGGAGTTAGTTTTGTGTCCTTTTTCTATTGCTTAATTGCTTAACTCACTTGCTACACTGTTAATGCTACACTTTATCGCTGGCTGGCGCTATAGCCTTTATCAATTCCTGCTGCGTTAGTATCATACATATCGCAGAATCACTGAAGGCGGCACATTCTCCCCTCTCTCTTCCTCCTTCACTTTCGTACTTTGCTAGGAGTTCTTTCTTGAATTCTATCGTGTTTCTCACTTTCTTTACCATAGGGCTGGCACTAGGAACTTTCTTTGGGTCCCTGGTTGCTTATTTCACAGTTGCACTCAATTAATAACCACAAAAAACAATGGATTATAGCAAAAAATTTGGATGAATGAGCAGAAGTTTCCTCCCTCGCCCAGAGACACAGCCAGACAGACTCACGAATGCGCGAGCAGCTGGCGGGCGGGTGGTGGACGCGTCCAATACAGCCGATAAGTGAAATAACAGCCAATAACCAAAATAAAATTTTGGCCCAAAAAACAGGCGATAACCGAGTTGGCCAATATCCGGAACGGCAGATAACCGAGGATCCACTGTATTTTAAAATAATTATTACCAAAGGCAAAGGAAAGAAACAACAGATTAAAGCAAATCTGCAATATGTTACAAAATTTACATAATGCAGAAAAAACAGAAAAGACATAGTTAAATTCAAAATTTCTCAAGCATATATTACATATCTTCAAGTGGGCAAGTACACAGCTACTTTCTATGGACCATGTCATTGATGATGTAATAAATAGTAGCACTTACAAATTTGGATTTATATTTTTCTTACAGAGTTTTTCTGCACAAAGTAACCTATATAAATTGCAAAGAAAATTAAATTAGGATATCAAGCAGGAATCTGACTAACCTGTCCTTCCAGAAGTGTTGAAAACCTTCTGTTCTTCTCAGCATACACAGGATAGTGTTGGACAGCACGGCTCTCAACTAGATGGGTTTTGAGAGTTGCAGTTTCATATTCAAAGGCCACAGAGATTATGCTGAGTTCCTCCATGAGTCCCACAAGAGAGATGATGTGTGGATGGGAACCAATGCGTATGTGTGCATCAAATTCACGCAACATTTGTACCTTACTACTCCTATCCAGAGTATCATCTGTTATTCGCTGAACCAACACATTTATTTGGTTAGCTTTGTTCACCACCACTCCCTGAAAGAGAGTTAATAGATTATATAATACCAAAGAAAATTATAACTTTTCTGACATGAAAACCCTCAAATTCCACAGACATTTATTTACTGAATAAAGTACTGTAGTGACATGAAATATACTATATTGAGGATGTAAGAAAAGAGGATGTGTAGTAGCCGACACTGAGACATGGTACAACCAGGAGCTAATATTTCACTTTACAGCTAAAATACCAATAAATGATGTTAATTTTGAGGCATACACATTACCTATATAATGCTGCTCATAATATTATCACTGTAAATGTTAAAATTAAATATCCAAGTTTTCATTGTTAACCATAATAATTTGCTGAGGTGTTTATTCTTTTGTAGTTTGTTCCTGGATTTTATAACTTTCACATGATATGAAGCTTGTTGAATGACTCATCAGGAAATGTGCTTAAGTTCTAAAGATAAAGGAATTTCAACATTGAAAGTCTTTTATCTTTAGAACTTAAGCACATTTCCTGATGAGTCATTCAACAAGCTTCACACCATGTGAAAGCCAATGAAGGGTATTCAAATGAACAATTTATGATGTATGGTATTTGTGAAACTATTATAATCATAGGGGAGCTCTAAACCTGTAGGATTATACAGCACCTGTGGGTGGTGGGGGTTATGGAAGTTATTCAGGCTCAATTCAGGGAACCAGAAATCAAGAGGTATTTGTGAAAGGAAAGCTTATGACCTGTGATAAGGTTATGGAAAATGTGAGGAAATTAAAATTTCATCAAAGTATAAAACAAATTTCAACCACACAACAGAGCAAAAAACTAATGTCAAAGACTTGGGGTTGATCATATCAGAGGATCTCACCCTCAAGGACCATAACATTGTATCAATCGCATCTGCTAGAAAAATGACAGGATGGATAATGAGAACCTTCAAAACCAGGGATGCCAAGCCCATGATGACACTCTTCAGATCGCTTGTTCTATCTAGGCTCGAATATTGCTGCACACTAACAGCACCTCTCAAGGCAGGTGAAATTGCTGACCTAGAAAATGTACAGAGAACCTTCATGGCACACATAACTGTGATAAACCACCTCAATTACTGGGAACGCTTGAAATTCCTAAACCTGTACTCCCTAGAACACAGGAGGGAGAGATACGTGATTATATACACCTGGAAAATCTTAGAGGGACTAGTACCAAACTTGCACACAAAAATTACTCCCTACAAAAGCAAAAGACTGGCAGATGGTACAACATCCCCAATGAAAAGCAGGGGTGCCACTAGCATGATAAGAGACAACACAATAAGTGTCAGGGGCCCAAGACTGTTCAACTGCCTCCCAGTATACATCAGGGGGATTACCAGTAGACCCCTGGCTGTCTTCAAGCAGGCACTGGATAGGCACCTAAAGTCGGTACCTGACCAGCTGGGTTGTGGCTCATATGTTGGATTACATGCAGCCAGCAGTAACAGCCTGGTTGATCAGGCCCTGATCCACCATGAGGCTTGGTCACAGACCGGGCCAAGGGGCATTGACCCCTGGAACTCTCCTCCAGGTATACTGACATTTCTAAGATGTACAAAAGAAAAAAGTTATTACCTGAAGTTGGAGGAGAAAAATAGAAGAATGAGTGAGCAGGAGAAAGAAAGATTTTCCTTAGGGATTAGGTTTATAAAGAATGCTTAAAATGCAATATGTGCCCAGGATCTTTTCTGTTTGAGATACACTATATACAGATGATAGAATTGTGGACACTTACCTTTCTCACATCTCCAAATTTCCCAGTGCCAATGTCTCCAACAATGTTAAGTCCTTGGTGAGGAATGATCCAAACTCTCTCCTTCAACTGGCGGTAGTGATCTGCTGGGGGTGTTTCCTCATCCACGTAATGAGCACCCACTGCATAGCCATTTTCAATGTCTTGATTTGGTTGATGAGCATGAATGGCAAGCTCTTGATTTTCTAAGGACCGGCGATTTTTCTTGACCAACACTCTCAAGGCAACATACAAAACAATGGATGCAACCAGAAGAAAGCCAAAGAGGCCTATAGCAATGGACAATCCTAAGATCAGCTTCCTGTTGTTAGCCAAATGGATATTAATATTGGGATTCTCATTACTATGTACAAATTCATCAAGTATGGTACTTTCATGCTGTTCATGATTTGAAGGTGAATAAGCTGCTTTTGTTTCATTAAGTGTACTTAGAACACCAAGTAATATGTGATAATCTATACCTTCACTTAATGGAGCATTGTAGTAATTACCATAAAGCTGTCTATCACCAACTGTAAATGTGGTCACAAAATTTTCTGAAGGGAACTGAGCTGTTATGTAAAATGGAAGACCTTTCTCCATAGCTCCATGATAATCTTCAAGTAGCTCGGGCTGGAACTCAACAGTAACAGTTTCATCTATAACCACTATCTGATAGGCTGTGATGGGACCATTAGTTGGAGGAACAGACTGGAGCTGCACAGTCATGGTGGAGGAAGTCCGGCTTATAAGTTCCGGAGATGCAGGCGTCTCGGGTTTTCCAACTTTGGTCCACATTTCCCTAGACTGAGGGTAACCAAGACCAGCAGCTGAAGCAGCCTTAACTTCCACCAAGTATTTAGTGCCAGGTTGTACGCCATGAAGCCAAGCAGTGCCAGTATGGGCAGAGTACACCCATTTCATTGGTCTAGGTGGGTCACTCTCACTATAGGTAAAAACAGGAATAGCACTTACATAATATTCCAGAATTTCTGAAAGTCCCTCAGCAGGAGGTTCCCAGTTAATATGCAAACTAGATGGACCACTGTCCACCTGCGTAAGAGACACTGGGGCACCAAGGATCCCTTTGCCAGTTTCATACACACTCATTACTCCATCACCACCACATTCCTGTGAAGAGTTTGATGAACACTGCACAGTACACAAATCTGATGGATTGCCACTAACAACATCTCCACACAAACACTTGTTGCCATTAAGTAATCCAGCATATCTCATTAACTTGGTTCTACACTCATCAACACAGGCAGTCACACTCTTTCCACTTGCTGCACTGGATGAGTGATACATAAAAGGTCTTTCTGCATCATTTGTGAAACACCCTCGAGGCAAAATCTCTTCGGCCGGTGACATCACATAGCAACAATAAGCAAGTATTGTTGCTAATAACAAATCTCCTGTACTCCTCCCCATCTGTAAACAAAAAAAAGTCACATTATAAAAACAACAATTACATTTACAAAATAATCTGAAAAGTCAATGAAGATTTAGTATTTCTAGCAGTGAGTAAACATTATGTCATTAAAAAATACAAAATTCTCATCTTAAGCTTATACTACAATATAACATAGAATACGCAGTACATGTACTAGAGTATACATATATACAGTACTGTATTTAAGTCTCATACAAAAATAATGAGAGATCACTTTGACATGCAGTAAAGATACTTCATTCTGCAACAACCTAAAGTGGGCAAGTTACAATAAGATAAGAGATCAGGGTCACCTAGGTCACGAGGTCAGAGACATACAACAGTCCTCGATGACGCACTGCATTTCTTGGGTTATCCTGGGTGGCTAACCCTCTGGGTTTAAAAATCCAAACAAAATCTTATCTAGCTCTCAGTTGAACACAAACTTCACTTGGTGGTCCAATTTTTCTAAAATAAAACCAGGACACTGGGTTAAATTTACTTTTTCTTCACAGTAGCATCACTGTTCACTGCATGAAAGAAAATAGTTCAGCATTTTGTGCCCTTCATGAATGATGGTTTTCTTTGTGCTTAACAGAATTTCATTACATGTAGAAACTACATTTTTATACTGCAGAAAGAAATAAACTTTTTTTATTTGTTCCTGATGACTCATGCTGAATGCCTGATGGTCAGACTAGTACAAATTCCCTTAAAGATCAGATCAAATTTCATAAATACATAACAAAGTTAAGGGTCTCCAGAATATTTTCTTGTGTTCAAAGTAATTACCATGCTGAATATAATAGCGATATACAATGTCCACAAATAAGACACATGTGCAACAGTTAGGTATCTTTATTCTAAAATGTTTTGCATACACAGTAAGTTCTTCACTTAAATACAGAGGAGACAGCAGAAACAGTGGAGATGCAATAATAATAATATATTTCTACAAGTACATGTACAAGGTCCATCACCCATGAAGTAGCAGTTTAGAAGTGGTCAGTCCCTCAGCTTGGGGAAGTTCTGTTCCACAGTCTGGAGCAATTCCTTGGATCAAGAGCCCCTCACTAGCATTGAGGCACTTTTCTTGAGGGGTTTAGTATTACACTCGCTACACTGGTTCTGACATGGGTTGCAAATTTAACAGGTACAGTTACGTCATACGTATTGCTATTTTATAAAACTAGAGCTAGAATTTTGGATTACTAAGTTAATTGGTAATTATGGGGATCCAGTCCATATGTGAGAATGGCTACAATTTATTCCTAAACATTTCCAATATTAGGTTGGTTCTCCCATGGACACTGCCTTATATTGTGCAAATAAAAGAAACTTAAACACAACCTATCCCAACTTAAAGTACCCCACCAGCAGTAGAAATGTGTGCCTCTGTTTACATTCAGAGATTGACCCATCAGTTTAAAATGGGTATCTGGTGTTAGTCGACTGGTGTGGGTTGCATCCTGGGATAAAACTGACCTAATTTGCCCGAAATGCTCTGCATAACAAACGGCTTTCTAAATAGTATTATGTCATTGATGTCAGCTAGACCCGTATACCTTGTACATTTTTTTTTTTAACAAGCCGGCCGTCTCCCACCGAGGCAGGGTGACCCAAAAAGAAAGAAAATCCCCAAAAAGAAAATACTTTCATCATCATTCAACACTTTCACCTCACTCACACATAATCACTGTTTTTGCAGAGGTGCTCAGAATACAACAGTTTAGAAGCATATACGTATAAAGATACACAACATATCCCTCCAAACTGCTAATATCCCGAACCCCTCCTTTAAAGTGTGGGCATTGTACTTCCCATTTCCAGGACTCAAGTCCGGCTATATAAATATAATCTGTTTCCCTGAATCCCTTCATTAAATATTACCCTGCTCGCACTCCAACAGCTCGTCAGGTCCCAAATACCATTCATCTCCATTCACTCCTATCTAACACGCTCACGCACGCTTGCTGGAAGTCCAAGCCCCTCGCCCACAAAACCTCCTTTACCCCTTCCTTCCAACCTTTTCAAGGACGACCCCTACCCCGCCTTCCTTCCCCTACAGATTTATACTCTCCATGTTATTCTTGGATTCATTCTCTCTAAATGACCAAACCACCTCAACAACCCCTCTTCAGTCCTCTGACTAATACTTTTATTAACTCCACGCCTCCAAATTTCTACACTCCGGATTTTCTGCACAACATTTACACCACACATTGCCCTTAGACAGGACATCTCCACTGCCTCCAACCGCCTCCTCGCTGCAACATTTACAACCCAAGCTTCACACCCATATAAGAGTGTTAGTACTACTATACCAACATGCCTCCATAGATAACGTTTTTTTGTCTCCACATATACCTTAACACACCACTTGCCTTTTTTCCTTCATCAATTCTATGATTAACCTCATCTTTCATAAATCCATCCGCTGACACATCAACTCACAAATATCTGAAAAAAATTCACTTCTTCCATACTCCTCCTCCTATTCGTGGGGAGCGCTAAACCCGTAGGGGTCATATATCTCCTTTAATGGTAGTCAGATCCGGTCCAAGGAAAGGATGGCTCCAAATTTCTTTGACCAAGAGCCCTTCACCGTCACCAAAGCACCTTCCTGCCATCAGCAACAGCCTGGTTGACCAGGTAAGCACCCAACAAGCCAGTTATTTGTACTATGGCACAGGTAGTAAGTAAGTGAGCAGGTCGTCATGTCATCTCAAGAGATGAATCACCTGTTAGCACGTCAACAAGGCATCATCAGTGTCATCTTCACCACCACGCTACTCTCCCTCCCTACCTTCTCCCATTTACAAAACTCATCCTCTAGCATCACGTTCATCCACGGTACAAAAACTGATACCGGTCGTACCTTTGCAGCGTGGAAAAAACGTTTTAAAACCCTTCCATGACTGCAATATATGAGCGCCTCGCCCTCCCTCTGAACCACACCTGCTGCTCAACCCAAACAACAAAGTTGGCCAACCCTTCCAATGCTTTTCAATTTATATAAATATATTTGTCCTATATCTCATCCATTTTTTTGTATCGGATTTTTGTATATCCTTTTAATTTTGAAGAATGTTGGTTTTCTATTCTGACTGTTTATAGGATGGTCTGACATGCATGGACGAGTTGGTGAGGTCTGATGGTATGTTGAGTAGCGGGAAAGTTTAAACTATCCATTTTTTTTATGTATTATGAAAGTAAGTTTACTGCACACACACACACACAACACATACAAGATCATATAGCATATGGATTTTTGACGACCTTAGAGGAAAATATGGTCAGTAGTTTCATTTAATGAAAGTACATTTCACTATATGTTAATAAGACACATGTACATGTACCACATCTGCGTATCATTGAGACACTTCATCCACCAGGGGTTTATCATCTAATATGGACATGAGTACTGAGCCTTATATAGTGCAACCAGTGGAAGAAGTGTAGTGATGCAGCAGTTATAAACGAGGTCACTTATGAACTGGGGCAAATAGATGAAGTAGGTTAGGCCTAATGGGTCTGACTTATATTATCTAATCGAGTTAACATTTTATTCGGTTTTTTATCCTGGAGAAAGGAAAGTTACCCAGGATAACCCAATAAAGCCAATGCGTCATCGGGGACTGTCTACCTTATTGCCATTAGGTCCTTTAGTACATATTAGTCTTGTCCCTTAGACTGCAACTTACAACAGTCGACTAACACCCGGGTACCTATTTACTGCTAGGTGAACAGGGACAGGTGTAAGCAAACGTGCGCAACGTTTCTACTCATGCCGGGGATCGAGCCTCGAACAGTCAGTATGTAAGTAGAGGATGTTATCAACCGACCCATACTTTAATTTCCTACAAGGAAGGTGGTGCTCAGTCTAGAAAAGTCAGTGGTCGGATGTGCGGCCTCTAAAATTCACAAACTTGTGAAGTTCCCCCTACGCACTTTCATTTCTTCTAGAGCTTCTTCTGTCTCTCATCCTCTTGTACCATGGCTTCAGCTCGGTCGTATTTTTGCTTCTATTTTTCTTCTGCACACTTTCATCACTCTTGAGACTACGCTGAATGAGTGTGGCCACAGCTTACCTGCAAACTGTTGAGGTTTGATATACTCTCTCTTTATTTATTATTATTATAATCAAAGGGGAAGCGCTAAACCCGTAGGATTATACAGCGCCGGGGGGGGGATGTGGAAGGCATTCAGGCTTAATTCGGGGAACTGGAGCACAGTTCCAATTCCTTAAATCAAGAGCCCCTCACCAACATCAAGGAACCTTCCATGAGGGGTCTCTCTTTATTAATGTGTCTCTTAATGATGCTTACATTTTTCTCAGAAATAAAGGCCAGTGAAAGCGGTTTTTTTTTTTATCTCGCTGTCCAATTGATGCATTTATTGATCTTATTCGTCTCTTTGTATATTCTAGTTTATTTTCTTTCAAAGGCAGCTAGTATTCTCAAACTTCTGATGTTGATGGCATCTAACCTGTCCCCTGTACTTGCTAAGCTGTGTATGACAGATCTTAATACTTCCCACTGCTGATGTACGTTCTTTCTGGCCTCAATATGTAGGCGGCCTCACGAGAAGGTCTTTCCCAGTCCTTTCTTGTCGCTCTTAACAATTTTGCTCCATTTCCCAAGAGTAAAACTTAACTGATATCTAACCCGCTATCTTGTTTCTTGATGATCGTGTCCATCATTCTCTACCTAGTTTTTCTTTTACCGTCTCCTGCAAGTCTACGCACAGTGGTAAGTACATTCATTATTTTTCCTGATAAATACAGTCTATTAAAAGAAGTGTTCGTGTTTCAATCTTCCTCAGCATTCTCCACATGTGCGACAATAAATAAATAATAATAATAAATTAGTATTTTTATTAATAAAATTAAGCGCTGAGCCCTAAGGACCGTACAGTGTTGCTGGAAGGGCGTGAGGAAGTAGAAATGCGTAAGGGTTGGGAGGGAGGGGTAAGGGATGTGCGAAGGTGGGGAATAATGGAGGTGGGAGTTAGCATAGGAGTAACATTTAAATCATATGTAGTTAGTTCAGTAAGTTAGTTTCCATTAAAATGTCAAAGAATAAACTTTGAGCGAGGAGGTCAGCAAGAGTGAGTGTGTTAGGGCAGTATGTGGTATCCGTGAGTGAGTCGCAGGTGTCCGATAAGTGAGTATGAGAATGCAGTTTCCCACACCTAACAGCCGTGCAAAGATGACCAGAATCCCAAACGTGATTTAATGGAAAATGATTTATTGTGGTCCAGCTTGGACCAATGTTGTCGCCAGCGGTTGCGGAGTTGCTGGAAGAGAACACCGGTATTCTCGAAATGCTCTGCATAGCTGTGAGCTTTCTGAATGTCAGGCATCTCTGTACAAACATGTATCATGGTGAAATAAAATTATTATTATCATTATCATTATTAAAAAATATTTATCTGTGTATACTAGAAATACAACATAACGAAAGTTGTATACGGAGGACGATGGGATGAGGAGAGTAGAATGTCTGAAAGGCTTATAACTTATTTTCGGAGTCTCAAACAACCTTGAATGACAGGACATGGTCGCAAAGTGCATGATAGCAGTAAAGAATTGCATATAACTTTGCTGTCAAAATTCTTTGAGCTGTGAAAATTTAAATTTGCCAGTTTTATTAAACAAATTGTTTCCCACCATAAATGTTGGCATATCACAATTAAATCCTAATTGGGGTTAATATGCTCAGGCAAGCCCATTCAAACCCCTGCACAGAAGCCCTCCAAACTTTCCTCAACACTGGTGAATACTCCTCCAAGATGGATTGAAAAAACTGGAACCGACCTCCGCATGAATCAGATACATGATCTATGTCAAGTAAGGCAACAACAGCACTTCTCCGCTCCATGGAATATTACCTGGAGAGGGTTTCGGGGGTCAACGCCCCCGCGGCCCGGTCTGAGACCAGGCCTCATGGTAGATCAGGGTCTTATCAACCAGGCTGTTACTGCTGGCCGCACGCAAGCTGACGTACGAACCACAGCCCGGTTGGTCAGGTACTGACTTTAGGTGCTTGTCCAGTGCCTTCTTGAAGACAATCAGGAGTCTATTGGTAATCCCCCTACCATCCAAACTATCATTCCTCCATTCCCCCCAAACTACTTCTTAAATCACAACCAAAACTTCGCCTTGAAGCCAAAAAAGATGCCTTAAGCTGTATTGATAAATTAGTCACACAGCACACACTCTCACAAATTATTTACGCTGATGGTTCTGTTCACCAATCCACTGGTGCAGCTGGTAGTGCTGCTGTCGTACAGAGTGATGGATCTCTTAAAGAAATTGGAGCACGCATCAATAATTGAGCCTCTACCCTTCAGACAACTGTTTGCCATACTCCTTGAACTGAAATGCATCCATGTATCTAAGACTGACACTTTAATTGTAACCGATTCTCTGTCATTCATAAAAACTCTCAACTCATTAAGTATAAATTGTGACATGCTTGTGTCAGAAGCCAGACACAGGTATGGTAAGATTGTGGACAGTGTAGTTAGAGTGCACAGGCTGTGGATCCCATCTCACATTGGTCCTCAGATGCATGATAGAACTGATAAATTGGCTAAGCTGTATACTTTCAAAGAGGGAGTAGATTACAGTCTTGGGTTGTCAATTAGCAGTTTGAGAACAATAATACGAAAAGAACTTCAACTGAATTTTATTGGCTTAGACTTAGGGAGACTGACACAAGTCAGTCCATCTATCATCATTCAAATTCAAACTTTATTCTCTATAAGTATTACAATGCTGAGTTTACAGAATTTGGTTATTGTGTGGTTTACATGTAGTAAAATAATAATTACAGTGTACCACTAGAACGCCTAGCATGGCTAGGCATTTCGGGCAGACTTATATTAAATCTTAGGTTTAAAATGTTACAGAATTATGACTGTATAGTCCTTGTGGCTTAGCGCTTCTTTTTGATTATAATAATAATAATAATAATACAGAATTATGAGATAAGTTGGTATTATGGCTAAGTGACTAAATACTAGTTGTGAGTTTAGCAATGTGAATGCTTTTGTTTTGGCACTATACATAGTTTCAGTATTGGAGTATCACAGGCCAACTTTTGACTAGTTAAGATTCATTATTTTGAGATTGAGATTGATATTTCTGTTTATGGTCAAATGGGTGAGTGAGTGTAAGTGTGAACCACCAGGTGGTATTCGTATTATTAGTTGACAGGGTGTATCAGGGAGATAAGATGTTTTCTGATGGTAGTTTTGAAGGTGATGAATGTGTCTGCAGTTTTGGAATTTTCAGGTAGGGTGTTCCAGATTTTAGGGCCTTTGACATACATTGAATTTTTGTAAAGGTTTAGTCGGACACGGGGAATGTCATAGAGATGTTTGTGTCTGGTGTTGTGCCTGTGGGTTCTGTCACAACTATCATGCAGGAGGAGCCACATGTCTATGGTGCATCCAACAAGATAATCAGACTCTTGGATGTCACTACCGCCCGGCTCCGGCTGGGTTACAAGTATCTTTGGCAGGTTAAATCACCACCACCTGATGTAGACCAAACGAAATGCAAACTCTACCAGATGAACTATTGTCACACCTTGCGTCATTATGTACTGGAGTGCGATAAAATTAATGAATTTAGAGACAACTCACTCAGAAGTGTTCAAGAAATGGCAAAGTATTTTATTCACAGACCATTCTGGAAAAATACCCTGACTTTGCTCCCTGTAAATAAAGCATTACCACATGTGTGTGTGTGTGTGTACTCACCTATTTGTGGTTGCAGGGGTCGAGTCTTAGTGTGTTAGTTACCATTTTGTCCTAGGCACATGTCGATTAGACACTAGGCCTGTTGTATATGCGTCCGTGTGTATGTATGTATGTATGTGTGTGTGTGTGTGTGTGTGTACTCACCTATTTGTACTCACCTATTTGTGGTTGCAGGGGTCGAGTCCTAGCTCCTGGCCCCGCCTCTTCACCGG